AGGAGAGCGACTGGGTGTCTCGTCTAGGAGAGGACCTCGTGGCCTTCAACATGGGAGACGAAAAGGAAGGGGGGAAATGGAAGGAGAGCGCCAAGGATCCGGAGGTGTGGTACAACAAGATCGAGGACGGGGCGGCATGGTTCACGAGGAAATGGCACAGGCAGGAGGCGGAAGCGTCCGCGAAGCGCCAGCGCGCGAGGGAAGCAGAAGCAGAGAGTACGGCCATCTCAGGACTAACGAGAAAGAGAGTCGGGGAAGCGGCGGGGGGGGGGAAGAAACGGCGACCGGGCACTGCTGTAGAAGCGAGTAGGGCGGCCGAGGCAGCACTTGTGACGAACTATGTACCCGGCTGATGTTGTTGCGCCCTGTTTCCCTCCCTGCTGTATGCTATACTCCTTTGTGTACATCCTTTGCATTGTCTTCGGCCTCTGTGCTGTGTTTCGTTTTTCCATAACCTCCCTGCCTACTCAGCTGTGTTGGGTACCTTGATCTCGCTTTGCTGTTGCCTTTGTTTTTGTACGTCTGGCTGTCTGACCATCTGCCGCCTCTTCGTCCTGTTTGCTCCGTTACTCCCATGCCCTGGTGCGTAGTGCCTGGTGCTGGTACGTTACCCTTTGATTTTTCTTTGGGCGGGTGTGGGAAGCGTCCTCCTTTATTTTTGTTTTTGTTTTATTTTGATCGGTTTCCGAGGGCTCTTTTCTCGAACGGTCGGTGCGATACCTTTTCTTTTCTTTCTATCACTTTGTTTTCTTTTTCCGAGCGGTTTGTACCCTATTTTTGTTTCGTTTCCCCGCGGCGTCCTATGTGCCGGATTTTGAGGCCACGGGCTCCCCATTTTTGTGGACTATAGAGCTAATGTGAGAAACAACAGCAAACAACAACAACAACAACAACAACAACGGATCGGGGCAAGCGGCGCTGGAAAAAGCATGATCACGTGCTCACCTGGGTCCGATATCTTGAGGCGGGCAGTGTTTCGTCAACCCCGGCAGCTTGCTCTCCGACTCCACTTCTCTATTTCTATGTGGGAAACTCGCCAGCCGCTGGCGGCAGGGGGGGTCTCACAGCTTCGATTACATTTCCTGTATGGGGGTATGATCGCACGGAACTCCTTTTTCCACCGCCGGCGGCGCGATGGTCACAAAAGTGTCACACATAAAATATCCAAATAAAATATCGGCATGCCAGGGTCGTCAGGAGGCGAACGCCGGGAAGGAAAAGATTCTCAGATACTTCCTTTCTTATGGAAGTGCCAAGTATGCGGCGAAGAGCACACTCGCAGGCGCGAGTGGGAGCGCTGCTGCCCCCGCCCCCGCCCCCGCCAGGTCACGAGGCCGACTATACTAATAACCCTTTCGATCTCTCGTGCGGATCCGCATCGGCACCAACACATCGGCAGCACCAGGCGACGACGCCGAGGGAGGGCAGCACGCGCAGGGAAGTCGGGACGTCGTCACCAGGCGTTCAAGCACCAAGGAACCATACTACAGCCCATACCCAGGGTGCGCAAGGTGTGTTGGTTGGTGTTGGAGACAGGGGGGACAGAGAGAAAAGAGGCAGTCCGATTTGGTTTGGAGAGTACTTGGCGGCGCTGCTATGATACGATGTTGAGTATACGAAAGTTGCAGGAACGTGCATGCAACCCGTGAAGATGTAGCTATGCAGGGTGCCATGAACTTTACTCTCAGGTCACCCGCCCCAGTTCAGTGCACAAGCTGGACTTAAAGTCCATTATTTGTGAGGAGTATTCTGTGTTGAAGACGATTTTGACATCGATTTCAACACGAGTCTCTGTACACGTCTGTGCGCCGCATGTGCTATGTTGTCCTACAATGCAATTGCGCCCTAGACCCGAGCGCTGCATTGCACGATTTTTTTTTATCAAATTGCTCCAAATTGGTTATGTCTCCCGTGTGGCTCGCCTGAGACGCCAACATACAAGTAAATACTTCTAATACGGAAGGTATACCACACCGCCGCATGCTGAGCAAGAAGTATACCCCTTTCGGAACTAAGCCAAAACTCTGCGCTACCTTTCCGCGGTTGGCATCAGACACCAGGTCGTAACACGGTTGGTTATCGTCTTGTGTGCTCGGTGTGTTTTGCCTCTGGCGTTATCGTAACACTGCTGTTCTTCTCGGCTTCGGGACAGCAGTCAGAAGTAGTGTGGTCCACAAAGGAAACGGATAGCCGACGTGTTTGTTTCAAGTGGGCCGTCAACGGGTAGGGCGAAGGCCTTGATGGAAGTCGTTACATTGCCTGCCGCAGACACACGCCCCCAAAATTCTTCCTTCTGTATTTTTGCGTGGGTAGGGTGTTTGGTGATGACGGTAGGCATTACGGAATTTTATAAGTGAGCACCTCTTGTAGTACGGGGCTGGAGATTCTCATTCCTTCTCAGTCAACGTCTTGTTGGTGCTGTCGGACGAGAAGGTTTGAACGGAGACGACATGCCCGACAGCACGTACGACATCGGGGTAGACGAAGATTTCGGTGGTGGTTCTGGGAGATCGGCCTGCAATGCGAAATACTCGGACTGCTGCAAGATGGATGTCTAGGAGAGTGCAAGCTGACCGACGACGAAGGGGCGTCGTTTGAGCAAGAGGTACGGTTGAAATTGACGGAGGAGGTAGACCAGTAGTACCCTACCTCAACGTAATGGTACACACCGAATGTCTGTGCGAGCCTCCGAATTTATTTGCTCGGAAGGGGGCCCATACCCCCCCCTTGAAATAGTTAACAATTGGTAGTCCCCCCGTCAGACACTTGTGTAATAGGGCGCTCGACGAAGTGCTTGGCGATGATGCAGAGTTCCCCCCTACAGTCCCCTGTGCTGGCGCTATTTCGCGATTTTATTCTTGAGTATTGGCGAGTCGGGTGAGGTGCCCCTTCATATGGCCAGGTGGGTGTGCGTTGCCCTTTGTTCTAGAGGTCCCAAATTGCACCATTTCCTCGGCTAACGCAATGCGCGCCCACCACCTGATTCCCACGTCCCGCCATCACCCAATAGGTTTTTGTACGTGGTGGTCTCCTGCTGATGTGTGGGGACGGAATTGGGCGCGCGGAATTCCTCGGCACGAAGGCTCCAAACAGCTGATCCAATTATCCTTGCGCCTACTGCATGGTGAGACAGCAGAATGATGATACCAGCGACGATCTGGGGAACCCAAACTTCGACATCACCGCCGCACGTGGGGCCAGATAACGGAGGGCTTGTCCGAGCTGGATGCCCTTGCGGATGACCCAAGAGAGCAGGATCGACGCTCGAAAGAGTTGGGGCTGGTGGCACCGGACGCGTCCGGACTCCCATTACCGTTGTACACCGCCATGCGCATTGTTCCCACGGAGCACGCTCCCGTCGAGCGACTGCACTTCAACGCGCTGGTGAGAGTCTAGTCTGCAACCCATATACCCTGGGTGAGAGAGACACAAAAGTAAGGGGCACACGCCTTCCTCATTGAGACCCTGCCACCGCCTATTGACGATAGGGGCAAAGTCAACTGTGCCAGGTTTTCTTCGTGGAGATGCTTTCCTCTGCAGCTCGCCAGCTTGTCTCAGCTATCATGGCTCAGAAGCCATCATTGCTCTACCCACCCGGCACGGAGAAGCTGAAGGATAGAGTGACGAACTACGCTTCTCTCACTGGAAGCGACAAGTGGACACTCCAATCGATCATGCTTCTAGTGTTCAGGATGGTTCTTCAGAATGTTCCGGCTATGGTATGTACGTACTCCCGACGCNGTGGAGATGCTTTCCTCTGCAGCTCGCCAGCTTGTCTCAGCTATCATGGCTCAGAAGCCATCATTGCTCTACCCACCCGGCACGGAGAAGCTGAAGGATAGAGTGACGAACTACGCTTCTCTCACTGGAAGCGACAAGTGGACACTCCAATCGATCATGCTTCTAGTGTTCAGGATGGTTCTTCAGAATGTTCCGGCTATGGTATGTACGTACTCCCGACGCCGCATATTTCGTTTGACGTTGGCATAGTACGGTACTAAAGTGTGGTCCTTGGTTTTGCCCATCCGATGCTGGGCCGCTAGGCTTTTGCTCGATAGGCGATCGCCGAAAACGCCGATTTCTGAAAAAAATCGCCGCAAAAAGGGTAGAAAAAAAATCGCCGAAAACAAAAAAAAAATCGCCGATTCTGAAGGGGGCTCCGCCGTATCGAAAGGTGAAGTCGCCGATGGTCGCCGATTATATTCACGGTGCCCCGTCTCCCGGTGAGACTACATACACACAGCTGACACGTACGCGCTGTACACGGCTACACAGCTGAACGGCAGTGCGATGCCGTCGCCTCTTGGCGGTATGGAAGCCAGGTTGGATAATAGCAGTGAAAGCGAAGGGAATTCGGAGAAGGAGGTGCAATTTGTCGGCCAAAAGACAAGTGCCGCTGCTGCCGGCAGCGGCGGCAGCGGCAGCGGCGACAGCGGCAGCGGCGGCGGCAGCGGTAGTGGGAGCGGCGGTGCCGCATCACCTGCTGCCGGTGCCCGTGCCAGAGTTCCACCACGGATCTCTGCAGCTGGTTCAGCTTCTTCTAACAGTAGTAGTGCCTCTGCACTCCAACGTAGTGCTGGTGGCCCCACTTCCGCCGAAAGTCCAGAATCGATACCGCTTGAGGTACGAAACGGTCTGATGACTTGGTTCCAAGAGGCGGCAGACGCATCGAAGAAAAGAGCGCGCACGAACAGTGAGAAGCGGGCCGCCGACAAACGTGCGAAGCGGGTGGAGGCGATCGCGAACAACCCTGCTGCACCGGAGCGAGAGGAGGGCATCGAGAGGGACCGTGCGGTCGTCAGCCTGGCCCAACGGAGGCGGGCACATGCCAACGTCGCGGAGGGGGCAGGCAGGAATATCGACAGTCGGGGAGCCATGGCCACGAGAACCCCCAAGAAAGATGCCCAGGTACCAGTTCATGACCGGATCAAAGAGTTCCCGAACCAAACCTTCTACATGATCAACACTGGGAAGATGGGCTGCCGTGCGTGCTTCGGCAAGGAAGTCAGCCTGCACAGTTACCGGGTGAAGGACCACATCAAGGGGAAGAAGCACCAGAAAAGGGTGGCGATAATGCTGGCGACAGATGAGGAGGATAAAGTGAGCTTGCTTGTAGTGGTACAGCAGTTCAACACACCAATATTGTAGACCTCAGCCGTTTGCATGATCTATATTCTCTCTACCTTTTTGCAGTTGTTTCCTTTGCTGCTTCGCTGCGTCACCTTGTCCTCGAGATTGTAGACTGCGCAATCCCACACGCCACAACCAACGATTGGACTACGCTTTTACGCTTTCGGTCCTGCTGTGTGTGTTCGTTTCCTCGCTACAGGGGACGCTCCGCGCTTTCGCTAAGCGCTCCGAGGAGGATGGAGGGAGTTACGGAGACACGCTGTCCGACAAGGACAAGCTCACACAGATCAAGGCGGTGAAAGGTTGTTTGGCGGCAGCTATTCCGCTAAACGCGCTGGGCAACCCTGTGTTCGGGGCGTTCCTCGCGCACTTCAACGTGAATTTGCCTCACTCCGGGCATCTGGCTAAGCACATACCATTGATCCTCGAGGAGGAGGTGAGGAAAATACAGTGAACAATAAATAACAAAGGAGCGCTGTGCTTGCTGTGTTTGTTTTGCAAGACGGTAGCGTAGACGAGTGCATATTCAAAATCTGGGTGATGAACTTAATAATACTCAAACACTTGTGTCCCTGCTCTGCTTTGGTCATTTTCGGGAACAGCAAGCCAAGGTGCGAGGTGAGATTGGCGACCGACCCTACGCGCTGTGCTTCGACGCCACTCCTTACCTCTGCGAGTGCTTCGGGGTTGGGGTTCGGTTCATCGGCTCAAGTGGGCAGGTAAATAAAATGTTCATGTTGCCGTTCGTCCTCGGAGGTTCTTCGTCATGCCAGAGTCCGACGGTATCGATTTCGACGTGAAAACAGTAGGTAAGCTTTGCAGAACCCCCGAAACGACCCAGTTCCTGTGCCCCCTCTCCCGCCGCGTCTATGTTTTGACCTCATCTCGACAGGTGGCACAGCGCGTTCTGCGGTTGAGCATGCTGAAGAAGAGCATGACGGCGAGCGACATTGCTGGTGAGGTCAACCGCATCGTCACCCATGAGTACGGCCTCGACCCGGACAAGTGCCGAGCCATCATGGGTGACAGCTGCGCGGCAAACCTCCTAGCGATGGACGCACTGGCGAAGTTGTTCAGATACGCGATCGTCATCGGCTGCTTGTCCCACACGTTCAACAACATCGGCAAGCAGCTGAGCAGCCTGGATTTGGACGCGTTCCTTGGCAAAATGCACACCCTGCTCTCGCACAGCGCTGGAGCGAAGGCGCTCTTCAAAGAGAAAGTCGGAGTCCGCGCCCCATCGACGCCTGGGCACCGGTGGGGCTCCAGATTCGATCGGGACTACGTGATCGCCATGAACTGGCCTGGAGTGTTGGAGTTCATCGCCGCCTACGAGAGCGGAGACACGGACAAGAGCAAGGCGGCCAAGTTCATGAGGGACGAGCTTGTGCGAGTTCGCGACGACAACAAGACCCAGAGCTTACATCTTCAGATGCAGCTGGCTTTGATGGTGGACGTCGGCCGTTCCGTGACTTCAGCAACTATCGTCCTGGAGGGCGACGAACCATTGGTACATTATTTTGTGAGAAGCAGACATTTCGCGCTTCTTTTTTCTTGTGGTTGTAGTTTCTTTCGCTGCTTCATCTATTTTTTGTACATTCGTATGAATTTCGCTTAGTTTTCCACTCCGCCGCTCTCGGTGCCCACTTTTTGACGATGGCAGGCGCACAAGACTTACAACATCGTGGAGCGGTTCCGCAGCAAGCTCGAGCTGGCTGAAGACGGTGTTTTCTCAAACGACGTTTCCTTGCCCACCGTCTCTGCTCTTCTCGCTAAATACATCGGCCAAGGAGACGACCTGGTGAGCTGAGAGATAATTATTGTGCTGTAGTTTCTCTTCTTCACGCTAGATTGTGTGCATTGCGAGTTGAAGAGGGCACCACACTTACATATATATCCACATCGTGTGTTACTTGCGTGAGAAGTGCCCGCTAGTCGCTTGCCGTCCGCGCGTGTTTTCAAATATGTTAAAACCTTGGCACACCCCCATGCCTTGCGTGTGAAGGGGGCAACTTGTGACTTGCTCGCGAGCGAAATGCAGGACGCGCTGGACCCCCTTCGCCAGTACGCACACGACAAGATCGGACGCCATTCCCAAGCGAGGGACGCCAAGACCTTGGAGGTGTTCAAGGCCGCGAAGCTCACGGACTTCACGTTCATGAAAGGCAGGAAGTACTCCGATGACACCATTCGCACCCTCAAGGTGCTCCCGTTCGTCAAGAAGAAGATGGTCAGGGGGCTGTTGAAGGAGAAGGAAGACTTCTACATGGCGGCCAGTGACACAGAAGCCGAGTACGGCCACATGGCTTTCTGGAACGACAACAAGAAGAAGCTCCCTACGTGGCACGCCTTGGTGTTGGATGTTGCTCTCTTGCAACCATCCTCTGCGTTCATGGAACGAGTGTTTTCCATCCTGCGGTGTTGCTTTAATGAGCGACAAGAGCACGTGTACAGCGACCGTATTTGCGCTTCAGTACTGCTCAAGTACAACAGGGGCCGGGCCCAGAGTAGCTCAGCAGAGATGGGGGGTGGCGCCGAAGATGCCAACAACGGCGGCGGTAGCGACGAAGAAAGCGATGACAGCAGCGATGAAGACAGCGACTGACGACCTGTGTTTCAGTGTTTCAGTTAATTTATCATGTAGATGTCTTACGTCGTAGGTGGGTCAGAACCTGTCGAGATTTACAGTTTTTTTCCCGCACGTAGGGCGGGCGTGCGGTGTGCGGTGGTGGTGCGGTTCGTAACTTCGTAACTTCGAAGTCCATCGTATCGTATTTCATTATTTGTTCGAATTCTGAGGGTTCGGAGTATTGCATGTTTAGTGTTGTAGTGTTGTCATGTCAAGCATCATGGCAGTAGAGTGTAGAGTCAAGCATCATGGCAGTAGAAAAATATGAAAAGGACACATTATTTCGCCTATCGCCGACAGGTGATCTCCGCAGCAGTCGACCAGCCTCGCGACCAGCTCGTTTGTGTTACTAGAAGTACATGCATACGTCGCGAAAGTCGCTGAGATGAAGTAAATCGCGAAAGATACCAGCCGAAAAAAATCGCCGAAAGTGAAACACGATTCACCGAGAAACGATATGCAGTCGCCGAACGTCGCCGAAAACAAAAGCCGATCACCAATTTTTTTCGCCGAAAAAAAAAAGGCAAACGCCGGGAAAAAAAGAAAAAGGTCGCCTATCGAGCAAAAGCCTATGGGCCGCTCTCGTCGTGGTTGCCCTTCGGAAGCAGGGTGTCATATCCCGCCGAACCTAATTAACTCCTGCAGCACTTCTTTCAATTGTCGAGCCCCATACGTACGGGCGAAGCTTGACATGCCCCGTTGACTACCCACACATCAAACAGAGCGGTCTAGTCTATAACGTATGTTGGCTGTAACATCGGGAAGCGCCTGACCACCGTACTTGTCGCCACACCTTGCCCCGTTTTTGCCGCTGTCGCTTGACTCCCGGCCGTGTAATGTATACCTTACAGAGGAGAAACATGAAGACGCGGGAGATCAACGACCTCAAAGCGGAGTGGGGAANCGCGCCATCGTTCACCGAACCGGAGCTGCTGCAACTCGACAAACTCGCGTGACGCGGTATGTACTCTGACATTACTTGTTCGTTTGCTCTTTTACGCCTGTATGTGTTGGCATCCGGCATTTGGTTTTTATGGGCGTGGCAGAGAGCGGAGACACCAATATTGGATTTGGTGCGCGAAACTATAAAATAGCAGCATTATAATGCTGCTGTAATGCTGCTGTTTTTAACGTTGAAGCGACGGCGGCTTCGTGATTTTTTTCAATGGACGGGGGGCGACCGCCGATATCTATCTTGGATGCATAA